TTTAATGGAGTTGATTTTTTCTTGCTGATTTTCCTGAGTTCTATATAGATTCTAGTTATCAGCCCTTTATCGGATGTGTAGCATGATAACATTAATTGGCTGTCGGGCAGGTAGAAGGGGGGGCGGAAGGGATATTCACGCCTAACAGGTGCGGTGTGCACCATCTGGGGGATGGACAGGCTTAAAGCTCTGACTCAGGTGGGGCAAAGGCAATAAATGTAACCTAAACATTTGTACCAGTAATATGTTGAAATTTTTTTTTTTAAAAAGTGTACAGAAATGTTCACAGCAGCTTTACTACTAATCATCAAGAACTGGAAATAGGCCGGGCATGGTGGCTCACGCCTGTAATCCTAGCTCTGGGAGGTGAGGCGGTGGATTGTTTGAGGTCAGGAGTTCAAAACCAGCCTGAGCAAGAGCAAGACCCCGTCTCTACTATAAACAGAAAGAAATTAATTGGACAACTAATATATATATATACAAAAATATTAGCTGGGCATGCCTGTAGTCCCAGCTACTCGGGGAGGGCTGAGGCAGTAGGATCGCTTGAGGCCCAGGAGTTTGAGGTTGCTGTAAGCTAGGCTACGCCACGGCACTCTCTCTCGCTAGCCTGGGCAACAAAGTGAGACTCTGTCTCAAAAAAAAAAAAAAAAAAAGAACTGGAAACAACTCAAATGTGCCTCAACAGAGAAATGGATAAACTATGGTACATATATACAATGCAACATTACTCAGAAAAAAAAGGAACCAACTCTGATATATACAACTTAGATGAACTTCAAGTGTGCATGCTAAGTGAAAGAAACCAGACTCTAGGGTTACATACTGTATGATTTCATTTATATGACATTTTAGAAAAAGCAAGATATAAAAGTCTAAGAACAGGCTGGGCGCGGTGGCTCACGCCTGTAATCCTAGCTCTCTGGGAGGCGAGGCGGGCGGATTGCTCGAGGTCAGGAGTTCGAAAACCAGCCTGAGCAAGAGCCGAGACCCGTCTCTACTATAAATAGAAAGAAATTAATTGGCCACTAATATATATATACAAAAATTAGCCAGGCATGTGGCGAATGCCTATAGTCCAGCTACTTGGGAGGCTGAGCAGGAGGATTGCTTGAGCAGGAGTTTGAGGTTGCTGTGAGCAGGCTGCATGCCCCGGCACTCACTCTAGCCTGGGCCAACTAAAGTCAAGACTCTGTCTCAAAAAAAAAAAAAAAAAAAGTCTAAGAACAGATCAGAAGTTACCAGGAGTTAAGGGTGGAAAAAATATTTGGGAGGAGGTGCATGAGGGAATTTTTGGGGGGTATGATAGATTTTATACTTTGTGGTAATTACATTATCTGTGTTAAACTTTATAGACATGCAGATTAAAGAGCAAATATCGCTGTCTATAAATTGAAAATGAATTTTTAAAATACCAAGTGAAAATAATAGCCGGTACAGTGGCTCACACCTGTAATCCTAGCACTCTGGGAGGCCGAAGTGGGAGGATCAATTGAGATCAGGAATTTGAGGCTAGCCTGAACAAGAAGAGTGAGAGCCTGTCTCTACAAAAAATAAAAAAATTAGTTGGGTGTGGTGGTGGTGCATGCCTGTAGTCCCAGCCACTCAGTGGCTGAGGCAGGAGGATCACTTGAGCCCAGGAGTATGAGGTTGCAGTGAGCTATGACGATGCCACTGCACTGTAGCTCAGGCAACAAAGCAAGACTCTGTCTCAAAAAAAAAAAAAAATCAAGTGAAAATAACAATTGAAAAAAAATTAAATCCTACTGAGTTAAAAATTCAAGAGTCCACACTGATAAGAGAAACAATTGAATAAGCAAATACATGAAAACGGGAAATCTCTTCCTAACAACAAAAAAACAACGAATAACCAAAAAAAGTTGGGGAACATCTAGACTAATCAACAGCTTCTGCCTTCTAATACGACGCACTGAGAATTCAGCATCACTCATGTGGCAGTCCTGCCAAAAGGGCATAACCTAAAACTAATCACAAAAAAACCATAAGCATGAGAGAAATCCAAATCGAGGTTAACTCTATAAAATAACTGGCGTAGACTCCTCTAAAATATCAATTACATTCCCAATCTCGGGGAAAATAAAAAGAAAAATGTCAATTACATGAAACATACACTTAGGAACTGAACCAAGAAGACTAAAGAAGAGGTATGAGAACACAATAAACATCTCAGATTTATTTTTCTATAAAGGACTTTATAGGAATAACTGGCAGTTTTGTGTCAATGTTAAATTTCTGTTTTTGATCATTGCACCATGGTTAGAGAATCCCTTGTTGGGGCAGGGGAAAACACTGAAATATTTAGAGAGTAAAGAAGCATCATGTCTGTACCTTACTCAAACGGTTGGGGAAAAAACATTTAGTGACAGGGGAAAGAAAGCAAATGAGGGAAAATAGTTACATTTGGCAAATCAGGGTAAAGGGTATCCAGGAATTCTTGCAACCTTTTTGTAAATCTAAAATTATGGCAAAATTGAAAATCAATTTTTTAAGTAAACATCCCTTGCTAGAAATAACAGATTAAGTAAGCTAAAAGTGACATACCAAGTTATCTAAGGATTGACTCAACATGAACACATTTACTAAAATTAAGAGTCTTGGCTGGTTATGGTAGCTCATGCCTGTAATCCTTGAACTTGGAGAAGCCAAGGTGGGAGGACTGCTTGAGGCCAGGAGTTTGAGGCTACAAATGAGCTATGATTGCGCCACTGCACGCCAGCCTGGATGACAGAGCAAGACCCTATCTCTAGAAAAAATTTATAGAAAAGAGTCTAGGGAAAACTCTAGCACAAACCCAGTACTGACCAGGGAGGTGCGTCTTGGCATACGGCCTGGAATTTGTGAGTTCTACTGTGGCAAGGAATTATTAATAGCTTGATGCTCTTAAGCATCTCAACTATACAAACAACTCTCTCCCTGCTCATCAGTGATTTTTAATTAAAGAATAGCAGCTTTGGTCATCTCCACTCTCGAGGATAGACACATCCCTTCTCCAGAGCTTTCTGTGCTTTATTAAAAAAGCAAACAAACACAAATAGCTTAAAGTGCAGATCTGGCTATAAAAAATAATGATCATACTGACTTGTAAATTAGTCGTATTTCTAAATTGGATGATAAATCAGCTTCTTGCACACTTAATTAATATCAGCCTTCCCAACCCATGTCAACTTTTTTTTTCAGTGAGACTTATTTAATAAGTCAACTTATTTTTCAGTGAGAAAATCATACAAGTGTTTAAAGTAACATTATTCCACTTTGAAAAACTGAATGAGATACCCACTCATATAAACATGACACTGATATGACCACTCCAAGGACACAAAAAAGGGCAAGAATGCATTTGCTTTCATGATTTTTATAATCTTGACATAACAGAGGTAAACACAGACCACAAATAAGAACTTGCTGTGGCCATGCTCACCTCTGAAGAACTAGGAACAAGCCATTCCTTTTAGGCCACTACCAGGGATAGGAAATGGCTTTTAGATCCACAATTTTAACTGAATATGCATACAGAAAAGGAGCCACCATAGAAAGTGGCTTTTATTCATAATTTCAAAATTGGGGGAGTCGGACCTTTTTTTTTTTTTTTGAGACTTTGTTGCCTGGGCTAGAGTGAGTGCCATGGTGTCAGCCTAGATCACAGCAACCTCAAATTCCCAGGAATTTATGATCCTCCTGCCTCAGCCTTCCAAGTAGCTGGGACTACAGGCACGAGCCACCATGCCCAGTTAAATTTTTTTGTTTCTATTTTTAGTTGACTAATTTTTGTTTCTATTTTTAGTAGAGATGGAGTCTTGCTCTTGCTCAGGCTGGTCTCGAACTCCTGACCTCAAGTAATCCTTCCGCCTCGACCTCCCAAAGTGCTAGGATTACAGACGTGAGACACCGTGCCTGGCCAGGGAGTCCAATCTTAAAAAAAGAAAAATATTCCATGCAGCAGCACTTGCTCAATCTTTTTTTTCTGTTTTTTTGAGGCAGAGCCTCACTCTGTTGTCTAGGCTGGAGTGCAACAGCATGATCGTAGCTCACTACAACCTTAAACTCCCGGGCTCAGGCAATCCTCCTGGCTCAGCCTTTCAAGTAGCTCTGAGTATAGGCACGTGGCAATCCTACCAGGCCTAATTTTTGTATTTTTTGTAGAGATATGGTCTTGCTATGTTGCCCAGGTTGGTCTCTAACTCTTGGCCTCAAGTGATCCTCCCAGCTAGGTCTCCCAAAGTGTAGAATTACAGGTGTGAGCCACAATGTACCCAGCCTAGTCTCTTTATTTAATAGTATACATAGAATGAATAAACTAGCTCTTAGTTCTGGCACACTTATTAAGTCTGATCTTGCTTATAAAAATAAGATCTTAATACTGCATTCTCAGAAGACTTTAAAACCCAAGCCAAGGCTTTTAAAGGATGTGGAAGGCATTCTTCATTCAAATCTGATTCATGTTTTTAAAAATCTTGTACCTCACATGTATTACTTCATCATCTTCATGCTGTAACCTACTATTCTTTTCAGTGGAGATGTGTTCAATGATAGAAATTTACAGAGAGAAAATTTCTTCCTTCTCAATTTGTAAACCAAAATTTTAAAAGCAAAATCCTTGACATGAGAGGAAGACATTTTTATGACTTAAGCAGCTATTGCCCTAAGCTGCTGGTACAAGCAAAAATAACAAAAGAAAAAATGTTATTTAACCTTAAAATAACTAGTCTATATTTGCTACAAATATTTGAAATATATTTCTTTCTAATATAATAAAAATTAGGATAACCCTCAGTTTATCAGCTTTTCAAGATGTTAATTTTATTAATAAAAAAGATTAACTTTCTTCATGAATGTCTGGTGATACACTGAACCATAATTTCTCTACCCCAAGGACATAAAAATGATCTAAAGTGGATGAAAGTGTGTAGCAAGTTAAAATTAAAATGATTCTTCATATGCTTTTACTGAAGCAATCAATGTAAAAAGAATGTAAAAACTTATTTTATGCTTGAAGATTTAATTAACATCCAAGGAATCACAACTTTTGAGCTTTTATATCCAGCACTATAGCATGTGAAAATACTACAGTGCATCATATAAAAAAGCAGAGTGATAAAATTACATATGTAAAATGGACTAAATATCAGTAATAATTACACTTTCCATAATCTTTTACTACATCAAAGTTCAAAGCCATCAATCTTTTTCAGTGCTTTGAGTAAGCAATCAAAATAGTCATATTTATTCAGGCTTAAAACTAAATTTCTCCTCTCACAATACAGAGGCATAGATGGAAGAGACAGTAACAGCTATTTTGTCCAACTTCCCGAGCCTACAAATGTGCAAACTGTCTACAACTTGATCTCATTATGTCATCATTGGTGCGCCTTCTTCACCAGTGGCATCTTGGGAAATATGAAGGTCTTCAAGCATCTCAGCCAGACTAATTCGAGGTGCTCCTTCATCATCTGTGTCACTTTCCACAGGGATGGTTGAATCTAAGAAAAATACAACGAGGATTCCAAATAAATACAAAGTATTTATACGTATATAAAGTATTAAATGTGTATTTGAAAATCTACAAATACCTGCCCCCACTATCATTAGTATTATTTAACTATGTTGTATTAGAAGCTCTTGTATCTTATTTAGAAGGAATTCAAATTATATTTATTGAATGAACTGAATAAATGTATGAATATATTTCCACAATTATAGGGATGAGTAACTTGAAGGATCAAGGTAGGATGCAAATGGTATCAAATGTGGTATAGCATACAACATTTTAATAAGTCTCACTGTTCTACAAGTACTTTTTTTTTAACTAGGGTAGTTTAAAAAACAAATTCTTTTATGGGAATCAAAGTTTAAGATACTAAAATATTGGTACTAGGTACTATATTTATATACAGAACATATGACTTAAATCAAACACTTCTAAAACACCAACCTCTGTAGATGTTGACATTCTTTCTAATTGCCTCATCTTCTTCAAGATCTTCAAGGAAATCTTGGTATTGTCTATAAGGTAAAGAAACATTTAAACATTTCATCTTTACCAAGAAAGTGTGAAGTCATTTTCAGTACTATAAGATAAATATGTTCCAAATACTAAAATCTTTAAAAAAAAATAATATCTGAAGGTCAAATACAAATATTAAATATTCTGACAGGTTTAAAAAAATCTTTTGTTTCAAAATTACATGATAAAAAAATAGCTGAATATAAGGTAATGTTAAATATAAGACAATGAAAAGAACACCCCCCATTCTATCCTTCCCTAAAGAAGCCTTATGGTCAAGCTAAAATATATATACTTTTAAGACTACAGATAAAAAGTCAAATATGTACTTATAATATTTAACATGTTATACATTTATGTGTGTTTATTTTGAATTACATTATGAAATTACATTTTAGAAACACTGCAACTCACATTTCATGAAATAATTTTATATAAACTCAAAATTTTTTTAGATATTAGTATCTTTACCATCATTAAGGCCACTTTTTGAATCATCCAATAAACTTTTTTTAGAACACATTATCTTCATTTCTGTTTAAGCTGTTTGAGAAATAACGTATTTGAAAATCATGACCTATTTTCTTTTTATCTCAGGTTATAAGTACTCATCTCCTATTTGTGATATCCACAATGTAATTAGCTATTATACAGTCATGTGCCACATAACATTTCAGTAAATTATGAACTGCATATATATAATACCATATTTTACTATAACTTTTCTATGTTTAGAAACACAAATACTTGCCATTGTGTTACAACTGCCTACAGTATTCAGTACACTAACATGCTGTACAGGTTTGTAGCATAGGAGAAAGAGGCTACACCATACAGCATAGGTACATAGTAGGTTTGTGTAAGTACACTCTATGATGTTTGCACAATAACAAAATCACCTAATGATGCAATCCTCAGAGGGCATCCCTGTTGTTAAAATATGACTGTATTTTAACTCTCTGACTAAATTGTTTACATCAACATCACTATTATCAGGTCATAACCTAGGAGATAATTCCTGAATCTGTGCTAAATGTCATTACATCCTCTCATACCAATTCCGAGAAGCAAGGATCAATTGTGTGAAACCTATTTCTTTACAACACAAAAATGATTTATCCTAAGGATTTCCTTTGAGACAACATAAAAGATAACTTGAAAGGAAAGTGGGACCTTTCGTCATCTGTATCCATGTTTTCTCTATCTTTTGTAAGCTCTTTCAGTTTCCAGTTTCTACGACGCTGACGTTTGGTACGGTCATAGCTCTTCTTGATTAATACCTGTCAGAAATATTTGGAAAGTTATAGAAAATGGAAACCATACTGTTGGGCCACAAAATCCAATAAAGTTAAAAAGGGAAAGGTTATGGGAATGCCAGGGAAGTAATAATGACAGTGGTTACACCTCAGGAGAAAGGAGTAGGGATAGAGTCAGTGTTAAGTAGACTTTTAAAATTTTTCTCCATGTATTTAACTTTTTACAAGAATGCACTCGAGCATTATTTGTATAATTACTAAAATGACTAACTGAAATTTTCCAGTGACTTAATATTAAAAGGTTTTTTAATACTAAAAACTTCAGGGTTTTTTTAACTCAAACTTCAGTTTTCAACTATCATTCATTCACATAAATCATTCTGAATATCATAGGCAGATACTTTTTCTTTCTTTCATTCCTACTAATAAGAACTTATAGAAATATAACTTTTACAATATATCTTAGAACACTGTTTAATAAATTGTGGACTCGATAAATGAAGATAATTTTATAAAACACAAAATCTTGTAAGATTGCCATGACCCCCTTATGACCTTGCTAGAAATACCTATTTTGATTTACTCCCAAACCACTTCCTAATTTATCAATTAATAAAAGCACAACTGGCAAGTGTGGGAGGGTGGGATTTCTTCTTTTACCAGGACTTTATTTTTATAGCTGAAGAAATCATTGTTTATTCTAAAAGATTAAGCAAGTAGGATATAGTTTTTCATGCTGATTTCACTCACTACTGCTCGTAATTCTTACATTCATCATGTTCAACCTTAACAGATTTTTCAAAGTATATAGTCTTTCTCCAACACTTGATCTGTGAAGATTATTTCTAACTGCAATTATATTCAACTTTAAATAATGGTCTTCACTCTAATAACTTCTTAAATGAATAATATACATGAAATAAGCTGAGCTTAATAATAATAAACCTGAATAAATTCTAAAGGTCATCGTTGTTGGCTGTAAATTTGTTTTTGCTCTACAGATAGTTATCAAATATTTTGACAGAGAAGGAAATTTGATTATAAAACTCAAAAATCTTGGATTTACCTCACTAAGAAAAATGATTTAGAAGACTTGTACTCTTATACCTTAACTGCAATTTCAAAAAAAATACCTCTAAATTGATTTGTTACTTTCAAAAGTGTTAACTCATACATTTTAACCTAAGAGTTACATCAATCTTCTTTAACATAGGAAAAAAGGGAAAAATCTGAAGCCTTACCACATCTGGAACTCTATCTGAGTTCATTTTGTTGACATGCTCATCATTTAAGTTACAGTTGGCCAAATCAAACCTGAAATATAAACAATGAAAAATTTAATGACTACTTATCTTTTATGTGTAACTTATTATTTTATGGATATCACCTAAAATTCCCTCTCAAAATGAAACATTTGCTATGCTTCCCACATTAAAAGTTTTGTAATTTATTATACAGTGAACATGCTTCTGCAGATCCTGGTAAAGATTATAAGGCTATTTCTGAGTTTCATATCTTATTCATTATTGTTCACCTTACCATATATTTGTAAAAGAAGCAAAACAGACTTACATTATCAGTCTAACTTTAGAATTCAGTTGGTTAGTTCCATCAGATTTTTTCTTATTAACACACCCCTCTCCGTAAGTCTGCCTGCTAGATCTAAGTTAAGGCCACTGTGAGCTCTGTTCAGATTTTATTCTTTTTTTGCTTTGCTCTTTTTTGTTTTTTTTTTTTTTGAGATAGTCTCGCTTTGTTACCCGGCAAGAGTGCGGTGGCGTCAGCTTAGCTCACAGCAACCTCAAACTCCGGCTGAAGCAATCTCCTGCCTCAGCCTCCCGAGTAGCTGGGACTACAGGCATACACCACCATGCCCAGCTAATTTTTTCTATATATTTTTAGCTGTCCAGATAATTTTTATTTTTTTAGTAGAGATGGGATCTCGCTCTTGATCGAGCTGGTCTGGAACTCCTGACCTCGAGCGATCCTCCCACCTCGGCCTTCCAGAGTGCTAGGATTACAGGCGTGAGCCACATTGCCTGGCTTTTTTTTTTTTTTAAATGACATAGGGTCTCACCCTGTTGCCTGGGCTAAGGGTGCAGAGGTGTCACCATAGCTCACTGCAACCTCAAACTCCTGGGCTCAAGTGATCCTCCTGCCTCAACCTCCTGAGCAGCTGGGAATATAGGCATGCCACACCATGCCCACTAAATTTTTAAATTTTTTGTAGAGATGTGGTCTCGCTATGTTGCTCAAGCTGGTCTCAAACTCCTGGCCTCTAGTAATCCTCCTACTTCAGCCTCCCAAAGTACTAGGATCACAGGTGTGAGCCACTGTGCCAGACCTGGCTGCCATATCTTAAAAATGAAATCATATGCACAATAAAAAACTACCCAGTCCTCAAAAAAGCTGTAAATACGCATCTAACCATACAACTTCAAGATTCAATTACCAAAATCTTATAACAAATGACTCCTTAAGATGATGGCAAAAATGGAATAACTATGGACTCTGTCCAATCCACAGTTCAATTTAGTTAATAAAAATGAGTTATAAGGCTCCTAAGTACTTTTAAATCTTTTTGGAATTCACAACTGTAGTATTTAGGTAAGCTTTGCTGGCTATCAAAAAAAAAATTTACAATGCTAATTGGCAGTTTAAAATACTATAAAATAATACAAACCCCAACACCAGGTCTCCAGGATTTAGAAGATGTCCCAAATGAGTGCGACAAAAATATTGTTTATCTGTATTCATTTCAGATGTTTTCTGTACCCAGACTTCCCCGAGGGTATGCTTAACAGGAAAGAAAATGTACTCTTCAATAATCTAAACATAACTCAAAAAGCATCTCATAGAAAAGTTAAATACAATCATGATTTCTGATTTTTTGATTTTTAAAGGTAGAAATTGTTTTATATTTTCCAGATCTCTGAAAAACTGTCGAAATTAATAAATTACTGAATCATGAGTATAGGAAAAAAAACACAAGAAATTCATGAAAATAAATCATTGACTTTTGCTAAGTTTGTATTCAAGACTTTTATAAAACATTAACAATGTCCCTAAAAATAGATATATGTACAATTTTCAAAAGAAATGTTTTCACAGGAAGATGGGCCAATACAGACTAAGCAAATAAAATAGCTGAAAAGGTAGAGAAATCTTAAAGCAATAAAGTATTCCAAGCAAACACTTGTTGGACACAACGGTTCAGAGAACCAGGGTTCAGACAAAGCCTAGAAATCCCAGTATTAAACAACTAGAAAAGCCAAATGTTTATGAAATTAATTTCTTAGATATCTATTAGTTTGAAGTGTAATCCTTTAAAAAAAAAACTATTTGTTGCAGAAACAACATTCCAAATTTGAAATTTTTAAACTCGAAAACCATTAATTCCCTTTCCAACATACAATTTTATGAGCATTCATAACTGACATTTCAAACTTCCAGGTTGAATTAAGTGTAGCACATGCCAACACCTCTTACTAACAAAGACAGACCAAGTAAAGTGAGATGAAGAGCAAAATGCTAACAGTTACAGGTAGAATAACTTCATCAAATGAAGAGATAAAAAGAGAAAGAAGTAGAAGGGAAAAACTAAAATAAAATGTCTCAGGTTCAGGAAAGAACTGAAAAAGTGAATCATCAAGAAGAGTCTAAATTTTATCTAACAAGATTTACTTTCTAGCTATTAGACTATTTCTATTTATAAGAGACTTATGAACCTATCTAGCTATTTTCTGAAAACCAAGAAAACATAATATCTGGTTTTATATCTGTCTCAGGGATGTGATGTTCTACATTATAAATGAAAAGTTTGCTCTTAACTATATTAATTTATTCTAAATACATATGTAGAAAGTAATCTATCTTCTATTTCCATTGATTTTTCCCAGATTATCACAAGTTATTTTTGTCTCAAGAAACGATACTACCTCAAAGGAATGAGCACCCTTAGTACCTAGACTGGGGGATCTAAATATTATTTCACACTAAAAGAAACAGGATTTACATCCTTGAAGAAATACTTGATTTCAGATATGGGTTTAAAACTATAGTGTGGGCCGGGCGCGGTGGCTCACGCCTGTAATCCTAGCACTCTGGAGCCAAGGGGTGGATTGCTCAAGGTCAGGAGTTCGAAACAGAATT